TTCTTACAGCTTTAAAAAAAGGAATTTTAGCCATTGTCAGTTGAGTGTTGAAGGTCAGAGTCAGAGGAAGTTAACCAGTGTGACTTAGAGATGACATCTGTACTTCTCAGGTACAGGTTTCCTAAAACTTCGGCATTTTGAAAACTCAGATTCTCATATGGTAATGGAAGCATACCTATTTTAAACAGTTTCCCTTGCATGGAGAACTCTTGCCTTTCTTCATTTGTATGCGGAGTTTTTGTTTGCCCGTGTTTCTCCTTGCTGTCGCTGTTATGCTAATGATATGCTGTCGCTGTCTGGATTGCATTCAGCTGCACACACCACTGACTTCACTTTTGTGCAGAGAAGCAAAAACCTGAGACTTTAGCAATGATTACAATCTTCTGCTCAGTGAAGAAAGGCACAGATTTAGATACATATACACCAAAAATAAATAAATAAGAATGGTGATAATCTTATTAGCCTTGATTTTTCCCATCTCTTTTGAATCTTAGTGTTGCACAATGTAAATTCTGGCAGGTGGTGGCCAAATTTTCATTTGTTGCTGATTTACTACTAACTTCCAGAAAATAAAAGGGGGAGCTGCTGACATGGAAACAGACCAGAAGCAGCAATTTCAAAATATTAGTGTGCTATTTGCCAAAATGGAAATTGGTTTTTTCAAAGAGTGGTTATTAAACAATTAAAATGCATGATCATATGATAGAAACTGTGTAGGGGTTTATATATATATATATGTATATATAATTATATATATATATATATAATTTATTGCTTAATGTTTTATATTTTTAAACAACTCTCAAAGAAAATTTCCTATCTTGGAAGCGTGTTATAGATCTCTGTGAATTTCAATATTTAACCCTGAAGCAGCAGAGGAAAGTATTTTTATATAAATCATGGAGATGTAGCACGAATCTTTTTTTTTTCCTTTTATTTTATTTTACAATACAATTCAGTTCTACATATCAGCCACGGATTCCCTTGTTCTCCCCCCTCCTGCCCCCTCCCCTTCCCCCCAGACCACCCCATTCCTACCTCCTCCAGGGCAAAGCCTCCCCCTAGGACTGATCAACCTGGTAGACTCAGTCCAGGCAGGTCGAGTTCCCTCTTCCCAGACTGAGCCAAGTGTCCCTGCATAAGCCCCAGGTTTCAAACAGCCAACTCATGCAATGAGCATAGGACCTGGTACCACTGCCTAGATGCCTTCCAAACAGATCAAGCCAATCAACTGTCTCACCTATTCAGAGGGCCTGATTCAGATGGGGGCCCCTCAGCCTTTGGTTCATAGTTCATGTGTTTCCATTCGTTTGGCTATTTGTCCCTGGTAGCACGAATCTTAAATGGTCTTATTAATAAAATCAAACCCAGGGCCAGGTATTGGGGTGAATGCTGGAAGATCAGAGAAGCAGAACTAGCCACAGCCACCTCATTTCGTCAGTTCCTCAGCTGATCCTGTTTCCTCAGACTGGAAGCCTCTGAGTCCTCATCCAGAATGAATCTCAGCTGAACTGCTGCTCAAAAGCCTAAAAGCTTTACCAACCTAGTTCCTGGTTTTCACACCTTATATACCGTTTTGCTTTCTGCCATCACTTCCTGGGATTAAAGGCTCACTTTCTGGGATTGAAGGTGTGTGTCACCATGCCTGGCTGTTTCCAATGTGGCCTTGAACTCACAGAGATTCAGATGGATTTCTGCCTCTGGAATGCTAGGATTAAAGGCATGAGTGCCATTGTTTTCTAGCCTCTGTTTCTAGTGGCTGTTCTGTTCTCTGACCCCAGATAAGTTTATTAGGGTGCACAATATTTTGGGGAACACAATGCCACCACATGGAGATCCTGACTTTTAATGCTAGTGTGTAAGTAAATAAAGGGATGTGAAAGTGGGTATAGGCTATGAAACTAGATAAGAAGCCAGGAGAGGGAGCAAGAGGTATTGAGGAAGTAGGGTGGGGTGGGCACCACAAAGGGACACAAGTGACATATGTAAGCTGGAATGTACGGGGGGGGGGGGCAGGGACGGGAGAGAAAGAGAAACAAAACAAAACACCCCTCTGTGGTATTGTGTTCCCCCAAATATTGTGTACCCTAATAAACTTATCTGGGGTCAGAGACAGAACAGCCACAATATTAAGCATAAAGCTTAGGCAGTGATAGCACACACCTTTAATCCTAGCATTCCAGAGGCAGAAATCCATGTGTTCAAGGATACAGACAGGCATGGCGACTCATCACGCCTTTAATCCCAGAAAGCAAGCCTTTAATCCCAGGGAGTGGTGGTAGAAAGCAGAAAGGTATATAAGGCATGAGGACCAGACACTAGAAGCATTTGGCTGGTTAAGCATTCAAGCTGTTAGGTTTTGAGCAGCACAGTTCAGCTATTCTGGATGAGGATTCAGAGGCCTCCAGTCTGAGGAAACAAGACCAGCTGAGGATCTGGTGAGGTGAGGTCAGCTGTGGCTTGTTCTGTCTCTCTGATCTTCCAGTTCACCCCAATACCTGGCTCAGGTTTGTTTTTATTAATAAGACTCTCTAAGATTCCTTCTACACCCCTCCTTTTTTTGTTGTTAAAAATTACCACAATGAAACCAAATATTTGTGTGCTCATTCAAAAATAAAAATAAATAAAATAAAGAAAAGGAGCCTTTGAAGAGGACCCATCACATGCTCCAAATACACCGCACTGACCCAGGTTTGAACCAGACATACTCACCCAGTCAGTGACCACGTATACTCCCCCTGACAAGTCCCAAGTGAGAGCTGATGGGTCAGGTGTGGCTGCAAGAGCCTTTGAGTGGAAGGCAGGAGAGAAGTCAGCTGGAAGTCAGGGCTGGCTGTGAAGGCGTGCAGGAAGAAGTATGTTTCTTTAGGTGATAAATTTGCAGCTTTACCTAAATGGTCTCCGAACATCTTATTCCCTTTTGGTGTTTCTATTGTCTCTGCATTACAATGAACTACAATCCCCCACACCCCACCTTTTTATTTTGTACTAATAAAAGTCCACTTGCTTTTGCTATGAAAGAAAGCCATTCTACATTTAGTTTTAAATGGTGAATTATTTTCTGGTCAAAGAAGGGAGCTAGCCCTCAGATAATTAAGACATGATAAGGATTGAATGGCACATATTTTAGCTCCTTAGTATCAGATATTTTAGTATTTAAACTTCTGGCTCTTTAATAGGAAACATGTTTATTGTTTCCTCCCTCAGCTAATTAGAATTCAGAAAAACCAAGATGAGATTGGGTAACAATTGTCTCAAAAGGATTATTAGGCATTTTCTAAAAGGTGATTTGGAATTCTTAACCTGTAAAAGTAGCTCTTGGATTTCACAAGGCAGCTTCATATGAGTTATTTACATATTAGAGATTTCTTAAAATTCTTTGTAAGATTGGACAGGTGCAGGTTGAGACAAGTGGCATTTAGCAATTTGATGCTGGAGCACATTTTCAAGGCTAAAAATGATGGCAATGTGTGTATACGATGCTTCAGAATAGTGCTGTCCAGCTGAGCTTTCTGCATTGAGGGAAAATTCTTTACCTGGTCCAATATAGTAGCTTCTCATCGTAGACTGGCTTGAAATGTACACAGTGGGACTTTATTGAATGTGCAGCTGGTGGCTCATTTTGGATAGTGCAACATTAGAGTGATTACTAATGTTATGTTGTCACTGTCTTTTAGTAATTTAAACCATGGAGGAGTGACGTACAGGGGTCCAGCCTCCAGGAGGTTACACAGGAACCATGTTTTCTTGTAGCCGGCAGTACTTGCTTTTCATAATTCCCCTCGGATGGAGTTTTCTTAATAGTTCTAAAGTAGAAAAAATGTTCTGTGTTGAAATATGGCCATTTAAGAAAATTGTTGCTACCATTTTCTTTCTGGTTTAAATACTCAAACCTATCATTCATTTCTTTTCAGGGAGAAATTTGTTTTCAGATTTCTATCCAATGATAGGGAGGCATGCCTCTGGAGCCCGACAAGTTTCACATGAGAGCATGTTGACATATTTATTGGCTACCATTGGGTATAATAAAATGGACAAAATGAACAAAGACTAAGAAAGTTCTGGCAGCACGTAGTCCTATTATTTTGTAATATAAAAGAATTTGATCTTATTGCAGATCAAAAATCATTTTGCAAATTCCCCAAACAAACATAAATAAGAGAAGACACATAAAACTACATAATGCCATGAAATACTGTTCAGCAGCTGTGGGAAGTGTAATGGTCCAGCTTTATGTCGTTATGTTGAACAGACCTCGTGCATGAAAAAGTCAAAAGTTACAAGAAACACTCATCTGCCCTCGAGTGAAATTCTCTCCTTCCCACAATTACAGCCAGTCTGATCAGGAAGCTGCCGCATGCCCAGGCCCAAGATGTACCTCAGATAGCAAAAGCCATGTGTGAGAAATGTGTCAGTCTGAGAGTCCCAGAGGAATCCTTATCTCAAAGATTCATGGCTTGAATCGCTATAGACAATGTGAGGTCAACAAAGGGTGACAACCCAAGTCCTTTGGAATGGAGTAATGCAAGTTACAGGTACAGGTATATATCCAGTGAAGAACCAAAAATAATAAAACACAATAATAAAACACATGCATGCATGCATGTGAGCACACATATGCTCTAAGAACCAGGAAATGGAAGACAGGTTGTGCTCAGAAATGTATTTTTAGAATTCTCTCTCTCTCTTAAAATTGATTAAATTTGTTTCATGGCAATTTCATACATGTACACAGTGCATTAGGTGTCTCTTAAGTGATCATCTAATGTTATAATGAAAGGACTGACCATCATCCCGAGTCTCAGGGAACATTGTGGAAGAGGAGATAAAAGAACATAGGAACCCAAGGATTGGGATGACCTATGTGAAATGCTCTCTTCTGGACATGATACAGCTATTGTACTCATGAACTCATAGTGGCTGTGGATAACTGCAAAGACCCAAATGAGATCAAGCAAGTCAAAATTACAGCGTGAATAGGAAAGAATACCTTACCTCTAATTGAGGAGCTTCTGAAATTGACAGCTGCTGGGGGAGGGAGAATAATTTTCCTTTAGGGCTGTGATGATTGATGGTCATCCATGATCCAGTACATGACCCTGCACCCGTGTACATCTGGGTGACACCGATGGGATTTAGTGGGTACATGAACAAAAAACAAGAAAAAAAAATGCAGGAAAAGCATAAATTTGGAATGAAGGTATGTTGAAGGGATCTAGGGGGATTTGGAGGGGAAGGGGGGGATATATTTCATTGCATATGTGTATGAAAGTATTAAATAAGTAAAGAAATAGATATAACTTTTTTTGGAATTTTAAACAAAAGATTATTAGTTGACTCCCCAACAAGAGTATTGTCTAACGTTCTTTTTGGAGATATTTAGGAATAAGCGACATCTGTAAGAAGATGCAGAACTCTTCAGTGACACAGTTTGCAAGGTGTCTGCTTGAAATCCCTAGATAATACTTCCCATTTCTTTATTGACAGTCTGATATGACACATCAAGACATATACCAATGCCACAATTAAACCAGAGGATATGACCAGGGGTAAGTAGCATTTTAAGATATGTATAGTATATTATTCCTGTGTGTGTGCAGATGCATGGGGTGGTCAGAGGTTGGCTTCAGCATTCTTCATCTAAATTTTTTGCGACAGGGCCTCTCATTAAACTTAGATCAGTGGTTCTCAACCTAGGGGTTGTGACCCCATTGTGGGTCAAAGGGCCCTTTCACAGGGGTCACCTAAGACTGTCAGGAAGCACAGATATCTATATTATGATTCATAACAGTAGCAAATTTTTTTTTGTTTTGTTTTGTTTTGTTTTTCGAGACAGGGTTTCTCTGTGTAGCTTTGCACCTTTCCTGGGACTCACTTGGTAGTCCAGGCTGGCCTCGAACTCATAGAGATCCGCCTGCCTCTGCCTCCCAAGTGCTGGGATTAAAGGCGTGCGCCACCACCGCCTGGTCAACAGTAGCAAATTTACAGTTAGGAAGTAGCAATAAAAATAATTTTATGGTTGGGGGTTACCACAACATGAGGAACTGTATTAAAGGGTTGCAACATTGGGAAGGTTGAGAACCAGTGACCGAGAGCATGTTGTTTGGCTAGGCTGGTTGGTCAGCAAGCCCCAAGGGCCCACAAAGCTCTGCCTGCTCAGCACTAGTTCTGCAGGGTACACACCACTTTTTACACGGGAGCGAAAATCCAAATTCCAGTCCTTGTGCTGGTGCAACCTTTTCTTGGAATTTTCATTTTATAGTTTTCCTTTCAAAAAACTTGTTAGTGACCACCATGTTCTGGTTTTACTGAGGTTTTGTCAACAAGAACAGTGTAGAAAAATGATCAGGACCAGTTGTATCATGAAGGGTTCTCATTTGTGCTATAGTGTGCAGGGAACAGGACTGGAACACTCTCTTCTGGCTTATTGCTATTGTTTGTTTTATTGTGATAAAAGGCATACAACATGAAACTTGCCATTTGATGCTCTTTTTAATGTCATTTAAGCTCCTTATGTTAAGTAAATTCACAGCACTGTGGAATAGGTCCCTAGGACATTTTCATCCTGCAGAATTGAAACATGAGGCCTACTCAGTACTAACCTCCTGCTTTCCCCCTTAATTTTTGGCAGCTGACTTTCTACTTTTTATCTATGATGTGAGCAGTATTTGTTCCTCTGTGACTGACTTATCTCACTTAGCATATATCCTCAGTCTTCATTCATGTTTGCAGTCTGTGAGTTCTATGATACAAATAATTCAAGGAGGTGGAAGGACAGTGCAGGATCAGGAAGTAGCTGGTTTGGGTGGATACATGGCTCTTGAGGAAGAGCATCATGGAAAAGAAAAGAAGATAAGAGAAACTTCCACGTCATGCCTGGGAACAGGACTCACCTGCACCAGAGCATAGATCTGTAGGCATCCATGTCCCTTGTCGTGTTCAACACAAATAAGTCCAGGAAGAAGGGTCATTTTCTTCTGGGCCTTGCCAACCATATGAATAGCTAGAATTTTGTCTGAAGAAGCGGGTGGTGGAGGGCTTGAAGCCTTTCTGTGGAGATAAGACATAATACATGCTCAAGAGGTAATTTGGACTTTGAGCAGAGAATGAACAAAGGGTTGAAAAGTACAGGTTTAAAAAGTAAGGGCAGGTGTTTTGGCTGGAACAGCAACAGGCAACAGCTGATGTTGGCGTGGACGAGGCCAGCCTTCAACTTTGGGCCTATAGATCTTAGGAGGTGGCAGGCTGTCCAAACACTGCACAGAAAAATCAATGAAGGGAGAAGGCAGGAGCAGGTGTGATTTATTGGGCATACCAAGCCTTTACTAAATGACTTCATGACTCCCTGGGTTAGGCTTTGGATATTCTATCCTGAAGGTAATTTAGAAATGGTTATCACATTCGTTTTTAGAGGAAGATAAAAGAAGGGAAGTCCATTTTTAAAAAGATAGTATGATTTCTGTTTTGTCTGTAGGGAAGTTATAGTTTCCATCTTTAAAAAAAACTGAAAAAAAAACTTTACAAGAAATTGATTTAATTGAAGCTATTGTTACACACTGCAAATATGTTTGGTTCATGCCACAGTTCTCAGAAATTTATAAATGGGTTCAGACTGTTGTTCAGGCACCAGGAAATAAACCTCCAAGCTATTTACTACTTCCATGATATATAAAGTTTGCAGTTTTGATTTTGTGTGATTATGTTCAGCAATGGTGACCTTTACAGGCAACAATATTGAAGTGTAATGAGGAGATGTTTGATCACTGGTACACAATGAAGAGTTGGGGCTACTTCCTCATTTCTTCCCGGAATTCGTGAAATTCAACTGACAGGCTTTAACCTTTAGACTGCTGAAGTTATAAAATGTATAGGGATTTAGGCTGTTTATACAACACGTTAGATATATGAAATTTTTAGACACCGTAGCTTCCTTTATCATCTGGTAAAATGATTTTGTATATTTAATAATATCAGTCATTGGTAACCATGACAGGCTGCACTCCGGGTGGATCACAGAGTATATGAAGTCTAGTTTGATGAATCTAGGAGTGAGGCCATGGAGTCAAACAAACAGAAAGCAAGCATTCTCCCCAGACCAGGCATTTTCAAAAGAGATGGATAAGGCCTTTCTGTTTGGTTTCATTCCTACTCGTGGTAGCTTAGGAGCTAGGAAAAGATAACTTGTACTTCTGTGTGCTAGAAATTTTATTCAAACTCAATCATGTTTTAAATAAAGGAAAGCTAAAGATGAGATGTCGATGAATGGGAGGCTGGGACTACCAGGGTTAATGTCCAAGGTGTACTTTTTGACGAGAGATCTGGTGAGGAAGCAAGGCATGCAGTGGAGACTGGAGCTCCAGACCTGTGGCCCCACCAGGACACTGAGAAACACCCGAATCAACTGGTCCCAATTCTTATACTAAAACCACCATCTCTTGGCTAAAACTTTGAAGACTAATTGGCAATCAAATCAAGCTCTCTCTCTCTCATGTGATTACAGAAACTTGGTTTTCTGGTTAGGTATTTGAAGTGCACAGACCTGGTCGAGCAGTTTCTAAATAAACCATGATAAGAAGCATGTGTGTTAGCAGCTGGAACCTACTCTGTAGGAGAAAAAGAACTTACCAGTGAGGTATTAGTTTAATCACACACATAAAAAGGAAGATAAATGACTAAGCAGTAAATGCAGAGTCTTTTTCTGGCCTTTCTTTGACACAAGAATGCACCAATATCAGACATCTATGCCCTTGCCTGGATGGTAACACTATGAAAACACACACACACACACACACACACACACACACACACACACACACACACACACTGCTTAGTTATACTGAAGGATAGCAGATCTGAGTCCACTGGCATGGTCCCTGGCTTTTGCACCTATTTGTTTAGAAAGCAAATTCAGGTATGATTTGTCTCTATAATCTTAGTTTTTGCAATGCCTAGAAGCAAGGTGCTAAAGACATGTTTACCAAATGGGTAAAGAAATAATCAAAGTTTATGATTACCAAAGAACAGCCAAAGAACTAAGCAAATGACATGAGGAGAAACTGGCATTTTGTAAACATCTTGAAAAAGAAGGCTATGTAACTAAAGTTGCATATTTCCTAAAAGGTGGTCAAGTGATTTAATATATAGAAAAGATGGAACCAAGCAGTTGCTTTGAGGTTTCATTTCATTAGGAAGTGATTCCAAATATTTAAAACTCAAGGGAGCAAAATTCAAGGGCTAGCTAGAAGGAAGATTGGTGAGATGGGGAAACATGGATGGTGTTTTCTTTGTTTTGTTTATCCTTTTAAACTTAAGCCATTTTAAGGTGTGTATATTGTAATTAGATGGTTCTCTCCTGCCCTCCAATTCCCGAATAACCACTCAGAGGCTTAATATTACTTCTAAGTGCTCAGCTGATTATCTCAGGCTTGTTGCTAGCTAACTCTTACATTTTAAGTTAACCCATAATCCTTATTTATGCTCTGCCACATGGCAGTACTCTTATTAGCATGGCGTGTTCATCTCCTGCTCCCTCTGAGTCTGGCTGGTAACTTCTGACTCTGCCCTTCTCCTGCTTAGCATTCTCAATTTGGCTTTCCCACCTAACTTTGTCCTGTTCATCTATTGGCCAGTCAGTTTCTTTACTAAACCAATCATAGCAACAAAGCTTCACAATGTACAAAAAGATTATTCCACAGCAGTGTGTGTGTGTAAGAGTTTTATACTTTAAGAAAAAGGAACTTACCCTCTAACTCTGTGTTTCCACAAATTTTAACGCCTAAGAACAATCAACTAACTGCTGAGACCTAGATGTGTCTCTGAAATAGCTATTGCTGTCTCTCCTAATGCACTGAGGGATCAGTTGGCCAGAGTCAACCTCACAACTCACTTTTCACAGCCCTTCTAAGGCTCTCAGCAGAAATAACTCCCTTGCTATCAGAGTGGCAGTTCATCTTATGTCGATGAATACTGTGTTGTCTTGCTTAGTAGATTTTTATACAATGAAGTGCATACACACTGAAAAGAGTCATGTAAGGCTTTGTTTCCACTGTAGCACTGTGCATTGCTATTATTATGTTGCTTTTCAAGCTAGGTGAGAGGAGAGAGGCAATCATGCTCCCCAGAGGTGAAGTGCTTTGGGTTGGAAGGGGAGTGAGTGACCAGAATGTCTCTCAGTTTTTCATTTATTTTATTTATTTTTGGTGAGAGAAGTTACTCTTCATAATACTGCATTTGACAAGAGGCCTCAGAAATAAACATGTGGTAGGAACCTGTTTGTGTGTGAATAAATATCACTTTAGTCCCTTTGTAGTCTGAGAGGTCTACATAGAGATATTTCTGCTATAAACCATTCTCTATTGCTGGATTTTGTAAAACTGGAGTTGCTATTAAATTTCAAACACTACTTTCAATATTAACAATTTTGAAACTTTTGAGGATATAATAGCAGCAAGGCTTGATCTTGGTTTGAGGGAGCATATAGAATTTGAAGAGCTCTTTATAGAAATATGATATGTAATTATGACTACAAAATTCCTAGGGTGGGCTGACAAGACACTTCATCAGTTGCAGAGAACCATGGAGTTAGCTTGGCCTAGCTGCCTTGAGAGGAATGAATCATAGGTTTTTCAGCTTAGAGTCCAAGGTGTCTGGGACACAATGTGCCTTCCAGTTCCTGAGAGACTGATGGCCTTCCTCAGGCAGTGAAGCCTTCAGGCCACTGTGTGTCTCTCTGTATGTTCCCTTAGCAGTCAAGGAAGCATGGGATCTTGACAGGACAATTGTTCTTAGACATTTATCTTGTGTGCCCTGTATGGCTTGCAAACTTCCTTGTATCCTGGCAACTACAGCAGTATTGATCCTGGAAATTGCCATTATATTCTGTTTCTAATAAGGGTATAAAAATTCTGATTTCTCTCAATAAAACTGTCACAGCCTCAGTTTTGCTGTGGTCCCTCCAATCCAAGCCTGGTTTCACTCCATATCAGGTGACCTTGGCTTGGTAAGAAAGTGTGGGTGCTTACAATGAGGGCCAGGCCTCTTCCTACAGGAACCACATCTCACAATATTTTATCTGGCATCTACATCCCTCCCCCGCTCTCTCTACCTCTTCCTGCCTCTCTTTCTCTTTCTCTCTCCCTCCCTCCTCCGTCCCCCACTCCTGTCTCCCAGGGTCTCTGCCAGATTCTTGAAGATGTGCTTGTGATTGAAGGGTTCTTCTGAGTCTTCATTGGTATCAAAACAAAGTCTCCTCTAAAGGAGAGGTGGGTAGAAGAGGCCATGGGTTTTTTAACATGTGTTTCATTATGAACAAAAGCAACCAAATTTCAAAAAAGCTTTTTTTTTTTTTAAACTTGAAGATTAGAGGAGAAAATTCAGCAAAAATATGTCCCCCCCCAAAAAAAAGACAAAAAAGTCATGCAATTGCAGCTTCCAGTCTACAGTAATTCCAGAAAGAGATGGAGAAATGTAAAAGTTATCTGGAACATTGCTGGGCATGAGAATGGAACAGAGCCCTGACCTTGTATGTGGTATACCAGTGTCCCAAGTCCTGACTCAAGACAAGGCACTGAGCATGTGAGGGACAGAAAGAAACTCTTTCACATTTTTATCTAACTCTTTCACATTTTTATCTAAACGGGATGTAATCTAGAAACAAGTCTTGCCATTACTATGTGGCTTATTTATTTATCTGAATTTTAATATTTTTCCGTGGGCAGTAATTGTACATGTTTATGGGATTTTGAGCAGTACAAGTATACAGTGAGAGCATAATGAGCAGATCAGGTGCTTAGCTGATCCATCACCTCATACACTACCAATTCGCTCTGTGGGGAGCATTCAAAATCCTCTGTACTAATTCTCTTCAAATGTAAAATTAATTGACAGATAAGCTGGTGATAGCCTCATTTTTTGTCTATTAAGTGAGAAGGTCATGCTAAAGACATTGAAGGTCTTTCTAGGTTTGAAATCCAATGTTTCTCAGGGAAGTAGATCTCAGAGCAGACTTTTCCCCCTTGACTTTCTGTCCTCTGATATCTTCCACTGCATCA